ATCATCAGAAGATAGTTTCCATGTTTCCATTGACATGGGACTGTTGGGTGAATACAAGCGATGATTCAAATCCTTTTCAAGAGATCTCCTAACAATCCCAATTGTTTCTAACAGCTAATGAAAACACAGAAAATATCTTTTAATGTTTTTATAATATAACARCAACTCTATGATTGAAAGCCATGTCCCTATGCTCTATATGTTTTTTTTTTGTACATTTTAATCACATTAATTTATATGATAGTTATTTTATAATAATAGTTATCAAATTCATAAATAATTCATAAGGTAAACATAATGGMAAATCATCCTGATTTGCATACAACTTTAACTTCAATTTTCTCTTACAAATTATATTTTAGCTTGAACTTTTATGCAAAATATGCTTTAGCTTGTGTTGGAATTTGATAAGCTTGCAGTTTTATATGCCCATAAAGGTCTCCCGCTCATATTTTATATATTACTTAAAGAATCTTTTCTGTGCCTGTTATTGATTTTGAAGAATGTACTCTCATAAAGGGCTTTATATTGATTAGCACACAATGCGCATGCAATAACTATTACACAATCAAATGGCAATGAACCTCTTACCTGAGCGACAAACAAAGCATAGAAACACAATGAAACAGCACTTAAATTTGCCAAACTAGAGATATCTCGCATTAAAGATAGTGGTAGACCTACGCCAAAAGCAAGTGAGATCATAATTGTGGCTCTTATAGTGGGAGTGACCTGTGAACAAATGAATGAGAAGAAATGAAAAAATAAACAATGAAAAAATGAATGGATAGAAAAATAAATGAATTACAGTGCGGCTACTGAAACCGGGGCCACCTAGAGAATATAAAATAATCACAATTTTGATTGAAAACAAAGGATTCAAACAAAGGGAACCTCATCTCATTAAGCTTTAGTTCTTTGTAATATCACTGATCATCGTTTTTTAGCTTTTTAAGCCTTGTTTTCAATCGAAATTGTGATTATTTKACATTCTCTARGTGGCCTCGGTTTCAGTAGCTGCACTGTAAAGAATGCAAGAAAAAATGAATAAATGAATTCTTGGGGAAATATCATAATAATCGATTGAAGATGTAATAAATGTGGTAGTAAAAGCATTCGACCTACCTCAATAGCAAATAAACTTTGGACTATATTAGGACCAAGGTCGCCTATAATTACATTAAAAGCACACAACGTGCCAGCCATTAAACCTATAATGCTGGAAAAATAATAGCAAATTGTATAAACAAAATATAGCATAATCAATAGGTAATAATATTGAGAAAACTAAGCAATAGCATACCATGCTTCAACTGCAAGTTTTCCTGCATTGCCATAAGTAAATTGTGCTGAAAGAAAATAAAATTCATTTTTTTGTATTGTTCTGTACAGATATTATAAAGGCTGCAGCCAAATGAGAGAACATTAATATCACGCCGCTTATGATACAACAAATAATAACAGTAGTATAAATAATATTACATGGCCACATAGAGATAAAGATTTTATCTTCGAGTGTTGAAAAGATCTATCACCAGTGAGCGTAGCATGTTTTCTACTGAGAAAATTTCTGATCATTTTTAAATCATTGTTTCCCTGCTAGCAGAGTCTCTCATTGTAGTTCCCATCAAGTAATCTCAGTCATTGTTAGCTTGGTATATCTGCTTTCTTCTTCCAACACACATTAGAATTTTATTTATCAATTACCTAAAGATTCATAGCTCCTTCTTCTTGCAAGTTGTGCCGATAATAGTAATAACAAACATGTCTTTTTGGTTATGTACATCATAAGTATCATAGCCAGGCAACCAAGAATTATTCCACACTATAACAAAAATAATTAAAAAACTTTTCTTAAGTCTACTTCACAGCCTTTTGCTGGGCTTTCTGAGAGTCCGAAAGCCCGACAAAAGTTGAAAAGGTGCAGTTGTAGTCTAAGATGCAAACTCGAATTCAGTTGAGCATAAAATTAAAGTACAAAGTATGACTTAAATCATCAATCACAACTATGTGTCTTTGGGGGATATTTAAATRGRATAAGGTGTGAGGGTCATTAGACAAACATTAGTTGTTGAGCGCATGTTGATAAATACTCTCTCYCTGCTTGGCTGGATTCTTGCAAAATATATTAAGCATTTTTTTCRACTGCTTCCTACAATGTGGCAAGTGCAGGTGGTAGACTATGATTGGTTGCATGGTTACCTCCTAGTCATGGGAAGTTATGCTGCCTCTAAGTTTAAACCCATCCTATCCAGTGAATGAGTTAATCAAGGGGACCGTTCATTTGTACAAAATAGCTTTATGATTATTATAACTTTGTTAATGCGGAAAGAGTATGAAACATCAAGACAATGTCAAAAGTCACTTTTCCTCGCAACGTAAATAGAAAATACCTAAATATTTACATTGTAAACTGACTTTTTGTTGCAACTAAGTAATTAGCAAAGAAATGCGATTTGCCAACAAAAGAGTCACTTGAATTGTAAGTTAAGTTTAAATCTTCGACTATACAAGCTAATCTCAAAAGATAAATCAACGAAAGACAATAAAGAAAATGCACTCTTATTTAGGAAGAATATAAAGTCAAAAAACATACCTAATACAACGATCGATTGTTATTTTCCATAGGTTCAAATTTCAAAACGAGTTACGAGCTAAATTTGATAAACACGAGTACCCTAACCTGATGAAAACAAAACGGGATTGCCAAAACACTGACTCCAACGATGCTRTTCATAAGGTTGAATAATGTAGGACGATGGACAGCCATTTTGAAGCKTGATTAAATTTTACATAAAGGTTAAAAAGAATCAGTACGTAAAACAAGCTGTCGGAGCTGCTTCACCCGCCCGCCATTTTGTCCACGTATTTTAGCAAAAATACCCACCCTACCCTACTGCTATTTTTATACCTACACAGGCAWCCCAAAGTATAGTTGAAACGCAAATTGGCTAATAACCTTTAATAAGATAATTCAAATAATTGTTTTTAAGACTACATAATTTCAAGTATTCTAAATCTTATTTGGTTGCATTTCATGTAAAATTGGACAGTATTTAGTTAGATATTATAATTATTTTTGATAGACTTTCTGTTTATTGTTTCAAATCTGTTTTTACTAAGTTACTGTGTCTTAAATATTTATTTTTAAATTCATGTATTAATCCGATTTGATCGAATGGCTAAATTTAAACACAAGACAATGGATTTTATTATTATTTACTYYKATTACAACCCTCCCCTCCCTAGAACCATAACCGAACCGAATCAGACTTCCCAGAGAGCACCGCGATCGCACGTCCTCTTCGGCCTCAAAAATGGTGAGAACAGATTTGGATAAAGATCGTCCAAATATCTTCCTCAATCTTTACTAATCGGTTAAGATTTCTTCTTTTTAATAGTAAGGCCTAAAAATGTATTCATATCTTTATGATTCTGTCTTGTTTTTAAGGGGATTGATATCAGACACAAGCATAAAAAGAAGGACTACCGTCGGGAGCCAGTGTCTCAGAACCTGTACATCAGGTTGCTTGTGAAGGTTCGTAATGAAATCTAGCAAAACTACGCATCCTTATTCCTTGTCACTCATCAGTTTGCATTGTTTCTAACAGCTCTACCGTTTCCTGGCCCGCCGTACTAATGCACCCTTCAATAAGGTCGTCCTCAAGAGACTATGTATGAGCCGTAAAAATCGTCCCCCATTGGCACTTTCTCGTATCGTAAGTAGAAAGAACGTCCAACTCCTTAACATTTTCCATAGCTTTTAAAAGTATTTAGAACATTAAGTTTACTATTTGAMTGAAATAACTACCTTTGTCGACTGTGATATTGTGAGCGCTCTGAGTATTACTACATGTATGTTTACATGTGAAGTCATTCTTCGATTTCATCCCAACTCCAGCTCAGCTGATTTCGAAATCTAGTTAGAATAAACTTCTGATTAAAACTTTTAAACTATGAAAAAATTGCGAAAAACTTCTGGTGTAAATGACGCTCTTAAAATAAATTAAGATTCCTAGAAAAATTTTCTGTGAACTAAGTTTTACCTTAAATTAAGTTTACCTTAGGATACATGTAGACAGCTTAGGTAATATCCCTTAATGATCTTTGTTTTGTAAATATTGTTCAGATCCGCAAGATGAAAGCTTCAGGTATTGATGGCAAGACTGTGGTCGTCGTTGGTACTGTCACTGATGATGCCAGGATCTTTGAGATTCCAGCTCTCAAGGTAAGAGTCCCTAAATTTACAACAAGAATTATGGCTAAATAAATTTAGTTTGAGCCTGAATTAATCAATTGAATGGCCTGTCTGCGATGCTTTCTTGCTGGACTGCTTGCTGATAGATTGCCAGATGTAGCTTGCGTGCTGGCTCGATAGTGAAAAATAATTGGCTGCTTATGGATAGCTAATTGTCACATTATAATGGTTGGACCATTGCTGTGCTGGTCAGCAGTTACTGAAGTGCATGCGGATTGCAGAAGTGATTAAGTTATCCAGCACTATGCAAGTGATYCATAGGTTTTGTTTGGATTCGATCTGGTGTATAATAGTGCTATTCACTCCTTTCATGCAACGAGGTWCAGAAAACCTGWAGCTGTAGGATTATCTTTATAAAGAATTTTTGCTTATCCATGAAGTGGACTAAATATACAATTGATATTTTGTTTATAGATTTGTGCCCTTCGTTTTACCGAAACTGCTCGTGCCAGGATCCTGAAAGCAGGTGGAGAAGTCATGACCTTTGACCAACTGGCTCTGCGTGCCCCACTTGGACAGAACACAGTACTTTTGCAAGGTATATTAATCATCRTCTACTCTCTTCAGCCTGTCATAATGTCATTGACAATGAAGAGGCACATGTAGCCTGAGAACCATAGCCAAAGGATGTTGAAGTACATCTGACTTATTGAAATTATAAAATTGTAATTAYTGTTGTCAGATTTTTATCGTAGTAGTGTGTTACTAAGGACATTTGACAGTTCTGATCTACAAGTGATGATAACTTGTCACGACGGTCTTCTTAAGCCCAAAGGGCACKTGATGACATTGTGAACTCTGATGTAGACCCTTGTCAAACACATGTATATTCCTTAGTATTGCTGTTATATAGTCAAGACTTGCTGATGGTAATAATCTAACTTCTTGTGAACAGGACCAAGAAAGGCAAGAGAAGCTGAGAGGCATTTTGGCCGTGCCCCTGGTGTTCCCCACAGCAATACTAAGTATGTCTCTAACTTTATATTTCAGTTTAGTATAAACATRCTAATGGTCTATCACTCATACTGTGCTGTGATTGGCTACTCTACTAATGGTCTAATTTGTGATAGACCACTCGCGGGAAAATCAAAATAAATAAATTCTAAATTATTCAATTTATATATTTCAATTTGTTTTCATTATTTGACTGATTAGTATGTTTATAGTAAAACAATTAGACCTCTCAGCCTCATGAACTACGAGCTAATAGCCCATTTGGCCTTACGGACTCAGCCTCATGGGCTATTAGCTCGTAGTCCACTCGACCTCGAGGTCTAATTGTTAAATATTGTTGTCATTCTCTCAATTTGCTCTATGTATTCTACTCCTGCAAAACTTGATGTACAAAAATAACACAGTATGAAGATCTTAAAAGCCAGTTCCAAACCAATTTTATCTTAAATTTACTGATTTATGATGCCTGTTTTTTATTCTTTAGGCCATATGTAAGATCCAAGGGACGAAAGTTTGAACGTGCTCGTGGCCGCCGYAAGAGCCGCGGCTACAAGGTGTAAAATACTAAACCACCAAAAGACAATAAATTTATTTGAATGTATTATTGTATTGGTTTATGGATGTTCACACATTTGTAATTCTATGGACTGCATTCAAGTTTCCCTTCTCAATTTTTCTTTCAATCTTATTTCTATAAATGGTTGAATAACTGGGATTTTTTGGGGGGTGGGGGGGGGGGAACTAAGAAGAACTCATTTGGTGCAAAGACTGTAACTGTAGCTATTTTGAAAAAGATCAGGGAAATGTGGGTTTTCAGTGTTGATGGTTATATTGTCTTATCTCTTGATAAATGAAAAAAACCCTGAATGTTTGACTGGTTTTCATCAATTGACAATGCAGACCAAAAAATGCTCAAAGGAACATCACGTCGAGCACTACAATCGATCCTTAGTGAATAAATCAGAGTGCAAATAAACCATGAAGTACTACCGAAACCTGAAATGATAACGCTTCAGAAGCGTGCACTTGATTGATGGGATACCTGTATTGTATTGCTTGGAGCAAAGACCTGGAAACTAGTAATCAAAATGGAGGACGAAGCAAAGTGTTCCTTGCCAAAATACGAGAGTTTAAACTTCTTATCTGAGCAATTTGACCCGCTAAGAGCTTTATACACGCCAAGCCTACAGCCCCCTATTCCTAATATACATGTTTTCAACAATATCGCTGAATATGCTCGAGCTATTAAAGAAGGAAAGACGAAAGCTCAACCTTCGGTTCCCRCACGTGAAGCCGTCGGTCCCAACAGACGAGCAAGAAACCTGAAGCCAGAATTCAAACAACCTGATATTGGCTCCAGGCTAAAGGCAATAGCATCACAGAAGGCAGAGAAAGGGCATGTGGCAGTAGACAGTGGTGTTAAACCGCCTTTGATAGGATACCAAACAGCTGAGAAGACTTTAGGCTTTGGGACCGAGCAAAAATGGAAGAAAAAGTACAAGAACGTACTAGAACGTATGGACGGTAAGTTAAGTTATCAATTGCGTTTAACAGGACGCTTTTGTGGAASTTTCATCCACCATATTAATTTTAGGCTATTTTACATAAATTTGAGAGGTTGTCGCAGTACAATACGAATAAATGAATAGMTTAATAATCGATTAATAATATCCATTGTGCATGAGTTTGTAATGCATGAGTTAATAGAACTTTTTGCCATTAAAACCAACATGTTTTCTGCAGCCCTCAAATGAGCAAGAGTGTCAAGTCATATCAAAATTAAGACCTCTTTCATCAGCAAAAAATTATTTTTTCTGGTGTAATAAAAATAAAGTTTTTGGTTTGTTGYACAATTCTGCCTCGCATTGGTGCAAGATCATAGGCTCACCAGGCCAACTGCAAAAAAGGGTTATTGAAAACCCACCTCACAACCCTTGGGGAGTGCTGGGGAACTGGGAGCTAGAAACTGATATATCCTGGGATTTAACCCTGTTTTACCCCACCAAACCAGTCAATGTGAAGGTGGGTGAATTATCATCTAAATCAAAGTAAATGGTCTATTGAGCCATCCATTGTGGCCTCTAAAGGTCATGAAATACTCTGACATTAGCATGGTTAAAAAGCTAATTCCCTTAGTGTAGTAATGCCCTGTCTTTGAGCAGCCTCGATTTCCATTGGCTGGTGTTATATCCAAAACAGTCCATCTTTTTGCTCTRTTTTTAGAGTGTGTGTCTGGACCATTCAGTATTCTATATAAATGTCTAAAAGAACGCTACAAAGTYCAGGTGTGGATAAGAAAATACAAGGGATTAAGGAGCGTGCTGACAGGCTTTGTGATTGCCTTTGATAAACATATGAACTTGGTAAGCAACAAAAAACTTATTTCATCTAATTGGTAATGAGTGAATATGGCGTGAAGACCAAACACRTGACCATTGATAATGTGTTTACATTCTCTCTGGTCAACAGTGTTCAAGTGTATTATGTATGTTATTTTTTTTATCCATGAATAACAAGATAAAGATCATTATTAATCTTCTTTTGGAATTTGAAAGACAAGTAACTAGAACAACATTATTGTAGCAAATAACTTTAAACTTTTCATTG